TCATCTTAGAAAATTCGGGAGAAATCGGAAATAGGAATAATGATTTTTATACGAATTATTTAAGATTTCAATACTATTCAGATTTGGAGTTGGAGTTTTTAAATTTACATAGCTTTCCACTGCCATGAAAAAGCTTCGGATAAAACCCATTTGCCGTTCGGGGATGCGGCGTAAAGCTGTGGGTCCCTCCATTTGTGTAACAACATCAAGACGCATGCCACAAATTGGAGGAGAAGCTAGGCCAAACACTTAGCAAAAGTGTAAGCGCCAAAATAATATTTTTATTATAGCTTTTCACTTGATGCCATAATCTAAAAACGTTTCTTTTCGCTGACAATGAAGCAAGAATTTCGCAATATTTTTTATCACTTTTGAGTTTGCTTTAACTTTACATTTTACATTCTTTTGCAGATACATAAATAAATAACGAAAGAGGCTACTAAAAAATAGACATTTACTAAATGCAAATGCGTGTGTGTTTTAAGAGTTGTAAACAAGCTTAGAAAGCAAAAAAGTAAAAAATTTATAAAAAAATAAACTAAAAGAGAAATAGTCAAAATGAAGCTGCAATCACCAACAAAAACGCTAAAAGTGCGCGAATTTAACGAATTACTGAGCTGCTCTCTATGTGAAGGCTATTTGATAAATCCTACAACGGTGGACAATTGTTTGCATACATGTAAGTATTAATTTGCATTTGTATTTCTTTTATTGTAAGTATCAATCTGTGTGGTCCTGTGAAGCGATAAATTTTTTTCCCGGATAATTAATTGGCTACCGAGAGAATTAAATAAAAAATCGTGAACTTGTCATGCCACGTTAAGTTGGAAATTTATTATAAACAATAGCAACTGATAGGATTACAGATCTATATTGAATATTTTGAAATCATGTCGTAGGTTGTGTAAGGTTAGCTTGGCTGAGAACAGTGTAAATGTCAGGTTTTTTTAATTTTATTAAATACTAGGTAACGGACCTACACGTTAAAATGTACCAAGTACACTTTTTTTTTTAAATTTAGTGTATGCAAAAAGCTGTACTTGTGCCTATTATAAACATGTGTATGGTTGTTTGCTGACTGACTGGTCTTTATTGTTCATACATACATATATTTAAATTCTCTGACAGTGTCGCATTAATCGTCCTTATGGCTAATACAATAGTTATGCAAAACAGTGTCGTATTAAAGGTAGTCATAATACTAAATGCCATATATAATATAACAGCTATCCCCTAACTATCATAAAAGTTAAGGTATAACATAGTTAAATTCAAAAGTAAAAGAAATTCAAAGTTCACTTATTCCTAAATTCAATGTGGCATCCAATTAGTGGAATATTGGAGTCTCTCCGGTGGTTTCCGATCTCTTTCCGATCGACGCAGAACGTTCTCTGTATCCTTAGCTATCGGCGAGTTTGCTTGAGAGCCTTTATCCCGAGCGACGCCAAGACGACTCTCCCTTCCAATACCAACCGGTGCAACTTCGGATGTTACTGTTGGTGTTGATGGCTGCACCTCCACATTTGCAGGTGTATGGGATACCAGTTTTCCAACTTTTCGCATTTGGTCTACATGTCGTGTCCTCGTACGATTATCATCAAGTTGGCCGGCGATTTCCTGGTAGCCCTGGTGGATGGAGTGTCAATAGGCTAGAAGGAATATTGTTAAGTCGTTTTCTATTGTGGATGCTTGGGTTCTTATCGATTTCATTTTATTTTTAAAAGTCTGAATAAAACTTTCGGCTTGGCCGTTCGTGGCTGGACGATACGATGCCCCCTGTTTATGTACGATACCATTTTCTTTTAGGAAACATTTGCACTCAGAAGAATTAAATTGAGAGCCATGATCCGAAACTAAAATATTTGGGACACCGAACGTCGAAAATATTTGTTTGCGTTTAAGTATTGTTGCCGTTGTTGTTATATTTGGTACAATATATATTCCCGGCCACTTACTTAACGAATCTACTAAAACGAAAAAATATTCCCCATGAAAGGCCCAGCGAAATCGACATGTACCCTCTCGAAGACTGTACGGGGTGGTAGTCAACAGTACACGGGCACCATTTGTGGATTAGGCTTCTGGGCTTGGCACAATGAGCAATTCAGTACCATGTTTTCTGTGTCCACGACTAATTTTGGGCACCAGCAGGAGGCTATAGCCAGAGTTTTCATCTTCGAGCTACCGAAATGACCGGTGAAAAGTGCCATTAAAACTTTTTTCCGAAGTTCGATCGGGATATAAACCCGTATTCCTCGCAGTAAGCAGCCACTTTGCAGTGAATATTCTGTTTGTTTTATGCCAAACCTGTCCCGTGAATTACAAACTCTTCCATACCTCAAAGACTCAGTTAACTTCAACCTTAACTTCATTTTCTTCTTTCGTTGCCTTGCCTAAGTCACTTGTCGTTAGCGGTAAATTTTGAATCGCATTCTATTCAATAAAGTCAACTTCCATGACGTTTTGTGTCATGCCTTGTGGTAACCGGGACAAGGCGTTTGCGTATGCGTATCTAACGGGTGATTTTTTAAGAGCTTGATAACTTTTTTTTTAAAAAAAACGCATAAAATTTGCAAAATCTCATCGGTTCTTTATTTGAAACGTTAGATTGGTCCATGACATTTACTTTTTGAAGATAATTTCATTTAAATGTTGACCGCGGCTGCGTCTTAGGTGGTCCATTCGGAAAGTCCAATTTTGGGCAACTTTTTCGAGCATTTCGGCCGGAATAGCCCGAATTTCTTCGGAAATGTTGTCTTCCAAAGCTGGAATAGTTGCTGGCTTATTTCTGTAGACTTTAGACTTGACGTAGCCCCACAAAAAATAGTCTAAAGGCGTCAAATCGCATGATCTTGGTGGCCAACTTACCGGTCCATTTCTTGAGATGAATTGTTCTCCGAAGTTTTCCCTCAAAATGGCCATAGAATCGCGAGCTGTGTGGCATGTAGCGCCATCTTGTTGAAACCACATGTCAACCAAGTTCAGTTCTTCCATTTTTGGCAACAAAAAGTTTGTTAGCATCGAACGATAGCGATCGCCATTCACCGTAACGTTGCGTCCAACAGCATCTTTGAAAAAATACGGTCCAATGATTCCACCAGCGTACAAACCACACCAAACAGTGCATTTTTCGGGATGCATGGGCAGTTCTTGAACGGCTTCTGGTTGCTCTTCACTCCAAATGCGGCAATTTTGCTTATTTACGAAGCCATTCAACCAGAAATGAGCCTCATCGCTGAACAAAATTTGTCGATAAAAAAAGCGGATTTTCTGCCAACTTTTCTAGGGCCCATTCACTGAAAATTCGACGTTGTGGCAGATCGTTCGGCTTCAGTTCTTGCACGAGCTGTATTTTATACGGTTTTACACCAAGATCTTTGCGTAAAATCTTCCATGTGGTCGAATAACACAAACCCAATTGCTGCGAACGGCAACGAATCGACATTTCACGGTCTTCAGCAACACTCTCAGAAACAGACGCAATATTCTCTTCTGTACGCACTGTACGCATTCGTGTGGTTGGTTTAATGTCCAATAAAGTAAACTGAGTGCGAAACTTGGTCACAATCGCATTAATTGTTTGCTCACTTGGTCGATTATGTAGACCATAAATCGGACGTAAAGCGCGAAACACATTTCGAACCGAACACTGATTTTGGTAATAAAATTCAATGATTTGCAAGCGTTGCTCGTTAGTAAGTCTATTCATGATGAAATGTCAAAGCATACTGAGCATCTTTCTCTTTGACACCATGTCTGAAATCCCACGTGATCTGTCAAATACTAATGCATGAAAATCCTAACCTCAAAAAAATCACCCGTTATTTACGCGGATATCAAAGTTAAACGATGCTAGATATATGGCGTAATGATGCATACGTGTTGTAGTAACAGCAGGCAGGCCCTAACTCGGAGCAAAAATTTGCGACACTGCCTTATTGTGCGTAACCAACGTAAGCTTTTTCCCAAAACGAATATTGGTGAAATTTGCGTACTCCAAATATTACCGCATATGCTTCCTTATCTACTTGGCTGTATTTTTGTTGTGTTTGGTTCAACGTTTGTGAAGCGAACTGTATTGGTCTTTTTATTCTTAATATTGAATGTCGTAAAAAGGGCTTAGTTGAAACTTCTATTTAAATAGGATTCCTTGTAAAACCACTCGGACTTTGTGAATCTGTTGATGAATTTTGAATCGGATATTCTCGTTTCAAGGAGCAACACAAGCTTTTCCCAAGCCACCTTTCGAGTTTTCAGCAGTTTTTGAGTCTAGGGGTCCAAGATTCGGTATTGGAAGAAGATTCGTAGCAATGAGTCTACAGGAATAGATAAAATGACAAGCCTCTATACACTTTCCAACTAATTAGCATACGTCTTCTTATACATTTATTCCGATCCAAACTACCAATATAATAGACATTAAAGACAGTTAAAAATGTCAACCTACACCATCCATCCTTTTCTAAAAACTTTCCTATATCAATTTTCAGATTGCCGCAGCTGTATTGTTCAACATTTACTCGGCGAAGCATGCTGTCCGCAATGTAAGCTTGCTGGAGGTGTCAAACAAATCAATGTGACCAATTTGAAGTAAGTATCCGATAAGCTCATTAATATTTCAATTACTCCCCTTTTTGTGCGAAGGTCTCTTTCTTGATTAACAACTTGTCGCTTGTGCTTGTTTTCATTTTTACAGATCGGATGATGTGCTGCGCGCATTAATCTTCAAATTGGTACCTGGTTTGTATCAAAAGGAACGCGAACGTGCATTACATTTCAGAGCCACACAGCACAATGGGCAACAGAAAACGGACGACGACGAAGCGGTTAGCATCGATAGCTGTGAGCAGGACACAATTGAAGAGAATTTCTTTGCGCCAGCTGAACCAATTAGGTAAGAAATTTGAAATACATATTTTGCAATGCTGCTATAAAAATTTGCAATTGGCATTCGTTGCAGTTGCATTGCAACTTCCTAGAAAAGTCCTCTAAATGCATTTTATTGCTTGCCTTCGTTTCATATCTCTCTTCAATTCTTTCTTTCTTTCTACATTTTCCGGTCATTAGTTTGTCATTGGAATATCATCCGGCGTTGCTTGAAGGCTGTAGCACGAGTCAAATTCCACCAGTTCGCTACCTACAATGTCCAGCTGGTGTGAAGATAC